CAAACACTTCCAAGGCTTTTTAATTGTGAGCAAATACACCTAGGGAAAAAATAGTATTCCAAAAACTCGGGGTATGGAGTTAAAAGTCTTGGTGCAATATTTTGTATTATCTATATCTTTGTTATATATTTGTTTGATTATGCATATATGCTATGTTGACAAAATTAGAAACATCACTTATGCCATGTTTTTAAATAAATACAACAATCGTTTACACATATGGTTGAACTTACATGAGTTCTATTTTATTTTATAAACCAATACATTAGCTATATTAAAGCAGCAACGAAGAATTAATATAATTTAAGTACATAATTTGAAATAAATTGAAAATGCTTGAATGAAAACAAAAAGCAGGAAAATACTTAGAAAAATGCAAACATTACGAAATTCCCTGAAAAATTTAACATCAATGAAAAAAGCAAAAGGAGCTCACGTCATGGAAAGACAAATTCGTTTACATATACACTCATAAAAATATCACTTGAGGAGTCTGTTCGCTGTTGAACCTGCATAAAAAGGGAATACGGCCGGGCTTGATAAAAACCAATATTTTATTGACGGTTTCGGTAAATTAGATGAAGTAGAGTAAGTTGAGATATTGCAGAAGTTCCACTCTATGCTATATTAAAATTTATTGTGTGTTTGTTTGTGCTTTTCGATGAAATATGAAAGCACATTAACCTCAACTTAGATCAAATAAAATAAAATAACAATAATGAATTTCTAAATTTCCCAGAAGATGGTTATAAAGAAACAAACAACAGAGAGAAAGTTCTGCAACCATTTAGTTTTTAGTTTTTAATTGAAGGCTTGTATTATCCTTGAAGTCTGATGGTATAGTCGAATATATCAATGTTGGGAATATATCGTGTGTATGCCAAAGTTTCCCACCTTTCACGGTATCAGCATGCCAATGCAAGGCAATTCAATATCGAAGCTTTCTAAAGCATAATTTGTAAGCATATACAGACGCATACTTTATTTTCTTATTTATTCACGTCTTATAAATATTTCTATGCCAGCTTTCTTTCGACTTAATTTTTATATGATGCTATTATTTGAAATCTGTTCTAATTAAGAAAGACTACTCGTCTCTTGTGTATTTAGTACGTAAAGTATGTCTTAACCTTCATTTTTGAATTTTGGATTTAATTTTACGTTATTCCCTAATGATGTTTTAAATCAAATATTTATTTGTAGCATATGCGCTTTTTTTTAGTGCAGCCATCAATTTCGGAACATACTTGTACATGTACATACATACTCGTAGTACGAGTGGCACCAACGCATGCGATACATAAATGCTACATTTTACGATGCGCAAAACAATATTTATATGGCATACACATGCCGTGGGCGAGCATGTTGGGGCGTGTTGACCCCCAGTGACAATGACAACAAAAGAATCAATCGAGTTCATCGAAACTATCCGCCAGCTATGGGCATGAATATTTCGCATTCCCGTTCGTTTGTAGGTTTTCTTCGGTTGCTCGCATCTCAACACTCGTAGATGAATAATTGGAAATAGAATATGCATGCAAAACATGTTGTTATTTATTTATATTTTATATTGCTTGCATGTTTGCACAACTTTAATTGAAAATGTGAGCCTGCAAAATCGTAGAAGCCTGACTTTGCTCCACTGCTTCCGAATGCGCCACATAGTTCGAGTACTACACATAGAAGTGGGCTGGGGCATCTGCAAATATTTTTTAATTGGCATGCATTGCTAGGATACGTAATACTATGATCATTTGCTGAACGCTTAAAGTAAAAGTCGAGTTCCGAGCTTTCGGTAGCAATATAAATAATTGAGGATACCAGCACATGCAGACATATGAGCAAATATTTGTTGTTTATAAAAATACAGCACAGTAAGTTGAAATTGTGGATATGTAGCAGCTAATGCGGTCATGTTCTATAAGTATTTTATGAATATTTATTTTAATTCGTATTTTTATACTCTGCATGCAAACGGTTAAAGGATATACTGGTTTTGTGCGAAAGCATGCAACTGTAGAATAAGTGGACATAGGCTGGTCCGTCTTTCTGATTGGTCTATTTATATGTTTGATAAATTGTGTTAGGCATGGATGCCAATTTGGAAAAATTGAGACTTATACGTGAAAGTTGCACTTCGCAAAGACGCGTCGCCGAATTGCGATTAAATTGTGGAATTAAGTAAAGTAAAACGGCATGCCAGCAACCCAAGCATAGCTCAAGCGCTTAAAATTCTCCACAAAATGGTTAAAAGCCACTTAAAAAGCTGGATTTTAAGGGTGCCACAAGAATTAAATGGATCGAATTTCCAGTTGCAAACTGTTGGCCAATCGGAATGAAAAAATGGTGACTGGTGATGAAATGTTGGTTAAATACGACAAATAAACCATTCTGGCCAAAGTTCTGAGTGGAAGCTTAAATGTTGTCCACAGACTAACGGCCAGAAATGTTTTAAAAGGTTATTAAAAGCAAACTTTAAAATAAATTTAAAAAAAAACATTTCTTTTTGCCCAACCCAACATTTTGCTACACTTATATGTATTGCCTATTTATCTTATGTCTTTCCTTCTTAAAACTTAATTTTCCAGTTGTAACATTATTTTCATCTTTTATTCTAATAAAGTATGTATTTTCTTTTTATATATTTTGGTTCTAGATCTATTGCAGAGTATTTAAAGCCACATCAAAGACAAGTCAAATCACTTTAACGCACTGAAATTTGGGTCAAGGTGCAAATGCAAGAAAAAGCAAAAATATGTTCAGGTTTTTCCAGTGGTAAGCTGCAGTAGCAGTTTAAGCAACGAACAGTGCCTTGTTTGTGAAATTGTGGCTCCCTAATGGTGCATATGAGTAACAAAATAGCTCATATACACATATCTGCATGCCGACGTTATTACTTGTTTAAAGTAAAATTTGTTATTAGTTAAACAATTTCATATTGTCTGTTGTTGTCTGAAAATTCTGCATCATATAAAGGCAAACTTTTGGACGGTGAAAGTTTTTCGGCTATAAAATGCATGAATTGTGTTCAAAATGCATTGCAAAGCAGGCGCACCAGCGTATAAAATTAGTAGCCAAGCCACAAGCTTAAAGCTGAGCCGTTAAATTTCTAGTCTAGACTATGACTAGATTTATGACATTGATGAATATCTTTATTGCTACTGAAATTTGATTGACTAGCTGCATCAATGGCGACAAAAGCCGCCCCTGGCATGGAAATTATTGATAAGCCCGTCAATAATTTTCGCATCCAATGAATTTCGGGTCCGTTTATTAGCCATATACAATGGCATCTGTCCAGTCAGATAAGCGAGTGTGAACCAGCGTCCTCGATCTTTTGTGCTTTGTCGAGGCCAAGCCATCAAATGACAGGCCGCAGTCTGACATTTGGCACATGCCGATATTAAATTGAATTATATTTCATTGCAGCTGTCACTCATCTATAGTTATACATTTTAAATGTACACGCATCGTAATTGAAGCAATTCGTCAAGTCAAGTGAAATTTCTGGCATTAAAAAAACAATCAGCAATAAGAATTAAATTATGTAAACAATTTAAATAGATTAATTAAATAGGCTTAAGAAATGTATAAATTAAATATGTAGGTAATCCGCCAATTGATCTAAATAGTTTGAAGCCTCTAGCTAAAATTAATTATTTTCCAAACTAGTTCGATAATATCATACGTGAATTATAATTATAAATGAAGGCACAATTTTAATATAATGTCGACATAAAGTACGCGTTTTTTTTTTTTGGTGAGCAGTCACCCTTTTTCTCGGGTATCTAATATTTATTCTAATTAGCACAGAAAAATAAACTTCTACAGGGCTTTCTGGTATGATTCGGTACTAAGGTCAAAGGGCTTAAAAGTTCAGGCAGCCAACTAGTCTAAGATGTTCTTAGAAGCTTACCTGTTGGCAGCAAAAAGCATGTGAAAATCCAATGGAATAAATGCTGGGCACGAAGCTGCTACAAATTGAAATGGCTTGGCTATGATGCGTCTGCGGAAGTGGCTTGCGGTGACAGTACCAGCGACAGTTGAGTGAGTAGTGGCACAAAAAGCAGCAGCAAGCGGACACAAAATAACTGCCAATAACAAGAACAAAGTAAAATCTTGATCAAAGCAAATATAAACGACATGCCTATACGACGAACCAGAAAGCCCAGCAGCTGAAAAGCTGTTTCTTCCTCTTAAATAGTAAGTTCAAAAGTTTAAACGTTTTTTCAAGCCTTGTAGTGGCTTGATAAGCTAATAAAAAGTAAAAAACTTGAAACGTCAATCAAAGCAAATATAAAGGACATGCCTATGCGACGAAGTAGTTAACATCATCTGACGGATGACAGAAACCACGTAGCCCAGCACCTGAAAAGCAGTTCATCTCTTTTAAGCAGTAAGTTCAACAGTTTGGAAATTTTTTTAAGCAATTTATTTAGTCAGCGCGCTTTAACAGTTATCACCTAATTAATTAAATGTTTTTCACCTTAAGCTGCTAGCCACAGTGCGGATCGCCGCGCACAATCACGATGGATGGCCATCCGTCCGACAATTTGTTGCCTCATTAGACCCGGTTTATGACTGCATAAATCGTCTACAAGCTGCCAGTAAATGGAACTGCACGTGCACATGGGGTTCTCTTCATTTTTATGGCACGTTTTTGCATGAAAATCTTGGGGCAAACTTTGTGGCCAAGTTTCATTGCCCTTTGCGTGGCGCACATTCATCTTTCAGGAGCAGCTCGGGCTTAGTTGAAAAGTTTTACCATTGGCTAACTAAACAAATCGACCTATTCTATAGTCGCCTATACATCTTTTCATAATCTAAACAATTCTAAGTATTTCTATTTCTATTTCTATCTATTTCTATTATTTCTTTTGCGTTGCAGCTGACAACCTCGAAAGTTCTGCCATAGTTTCAATCAACGTCTAATCCGCTAGCCATCAGTTTTGTGGATTCAGTTTCGGGTTCGTTTTCGTTTCATTTCGATTCGTTTATCACAGCGACTTAGGGATGCCGCAGTCTAGTCGACCACCTACTCCAACTTCTCCCATTCCATTGACTGGCAACTTGGCATTGCTGTTGCCGTTTTTCGTTGTTGCTGGTTGCGTGGGTTTTTGCCTCGTTTTGCGCCATGGAAATTTAAGAGCCTTCGACGCAGTGCTGCCTTCGCATTGCTGCCGCTGATTCTGCTGATGTTCCAGGACCACTTGCCTGTCGTTGTGGCCATGCTCATCACGTCTGCTGATGACGCGTGATAGTTTCAATCGCTTTCCAGGCACAGGCGTGGGCGTTGCGGTCGCATCCACGGCATCAAGGCTCTGCGACGCCTGCGTTGGCGTCGATGCGGAAATTAATAAAGCACCATTATGGGTGGCCAGAAGTGCACGCTTGGCGCGATAGGAGTTGGGCGTGCCTGTAGAGTAGTTACCTAAATCCCCTTGCGACTCGAGCAGCGAGTTGGCATCGCCAACTGAGGAAAGTTGCGAGATTTGAGCTTGCAGCATGCGATGCGGCGCTGCTGTAGCTGCTCCGTAGAGCTCATGTTTGTGTAACGACGAACAGCGGCCGCGTGTGCCAGAGGTGCGTCTTGCCCCAACACCACCAGGACAATTTCCAATAGCACTTCCTGCATTATTGCTGTGAATCGTTGTGGTCGTGGTGCGAATACTATCCTGCAGCGAAAACTGATGATGACTGGCATCGTGGCAGCGAAAGTGCACCACACGATAGGAGCCATAGGGTTCCAACGCGTTATTATTTACGCTGCTCGCCTGCAGACGCATCGAGCCGTTCTGGCGCAGAAGGGCGCTGTAGTTGTGCTGATGCGGACTCTGCTGGTGCTTGCCTGCCAAGCCAAATTGGCGCGTCAGCGTTATCTGTAAACAATTAGTTAACAATACACAAATTATGAGTGACATTTTCAAATTGAAATAATCAATTTTTTCCGTAAATGCGACTGTTATAAGCGAATATACAAATAACTGAGAAGAGGAATTTATATTTGTGTCACGCAACAAGCCAAGCCTATGAATGAATAATGAAAAGCGATTTGAAAATGCATCCAATAGTTTAACTCGTCAAAGTTATCATTTTTGATTTTATTTCCAATAGAATGTTTAAAACTATTCAGTTTTCATTATAGAGGCTCTGAAAAACATATGCTCCTAGTTAAGTTAAATTACTAGCAAACAACCTTCGTCATCAGTTCATTCATTAAAGCTTCCTTACTTTACAATTTACTATGTGTACAGGTAAAGTATGTATAGTGCTTTTTTGCCCGATGGAGTTACGGTTTTGGAATAATTTGCATTTGAAATGTTTCCATTAAGTGTAAATGGAGCGGAATTGAAAAAAGTACAGCATACTTTCAGGATGAAATTGCACTCTTGCTGGTGGATTTCAAGATTGATTTATTTCTAAAAACAGTTAAATGTAATGTGAAATCTCAAGCAAACTATTGTGGCGAATGGCTATAGGCACATGGAATTTTGTCTTAAATTATCAAACTGGAACATAAACGGCCTTAATATATTATATTATATATAACAAATATTCGCAGAAGTATTTGACAAAAGAAAAATAAGTACTTTGAGTCCATTTTAAAGAAAAGCTATTGGAAAGTCGATATGGTTGACGAAATTATAAAATAAAAGCCGTCGATTGTTCTATAGAAAATATAGAATATAGACTAAAAATGTGAAGCTTTAATTGAAAAAAAAAATTAGAAAAATTATAACCTAATGCAAATAAAGCAAATTTACTTAACGACGTAATCAGCAGGCAGAAGTAAATAATAAACAAATTGGTTTGTAAGAGATGATGCATATGCATATTTTAAAGCAAACGTGCACTTCTAGTTCAACTTCTTCAGCAGCTTAATAATAGTTTAAGAAATCGCCTTAATAATGAATCTTATTTTAATTTTCTAGAAAAGCCTTCATATTTCAGTTACTTATCTTATTAATGTTGCCTACATTTTCAAGACAAGTATTTTAGTAATCTTTCCTAGTTGTCTTTGTGATTGATGCATTAATGCGACATCATGGAATTGTTATGCCACATAGTGGCTTACTTACCTTAAAGGCTTCACGAAACTTGTGACTCATGATGTTGTACAGCAGCGGGTTGATGCAGGTGGATAGATAGTACAGCACGCCGGATGTGTAATCAAGTATGCGGAAGTAGTCGTTAAAGGCATCCCGATTAATGCCAATGTTAATCAATGAGAGGCCATACACGGCCATCAAGCGTTGGGCGTGAAAGGGTGCCCAACAGAGGAAGAAGGAGACGGCTACAGCTACTGCAATATAAATGAAAAAGGTGGAGAAGTTGGAGAAGAATTATAAAGAAATGGGGCGAGACAAGAAGGTGTGAGGAATGTAATCAAGTTCGTCGGCCTGTTTAATAGATAGGTAAAGGTAAATTCCATGCATTAAACATTAACGATCCCACAAAATGTGTGCACATGGCGTATACGCAATATGGCGGAAAGTCATCAAAGTCTCAGTTGCGGTGAAGGGGGTGTGCATGTGTGTGTAAGCAGCTTGTTTGATGTCACCATCGCAAATGTTTTGACAGTAATTTTCAATTTGCGGCTTTTCATCAAGAAAAAGTTTCAACATCAACCAAAGCGATTGGGGAGGGGGAAGTGAGTGTCTAAGGGTCCCGAGTTGCCTTTGCTGTTGTGTTTAATCAATCAGTGTGCCTCTGGTCGCCGGCAACAGGCGTTGCCAACTCAACTCACCTACCCAACATTCTGATGACTCGGCTTTGCGCATTCAGGCCGCGATTCACGTCGTAGGCTCGTCGCGGCAACGATTGCAGCAAACGGCTGCGCTTCAGCTTCACTCCGATGAGCACGTAGAGCACGCAAATGGCTGTCATGGGACCGCCAAAGAATATAAAACCCGAGACGGCGAACACATGTGCATAAAAGTTGTCCTCCATCTGAAAGTACCAAAGCAAAACCGATGTTATTTAGTGGTAGGGTTTCAAATCACGCCCTACGAACCGTGCAGGAGTAACCATCGCCCTGATACACCACCGAGAACTGCATGGCCTGTGGCAGTGCGAGCAAGAAGGCAGCCAGCCAAATGGCGAAGATAAATTTTATGGCCCGCGACAACTTGGACATAGTGTGTTGACTAAACCAATGCGAAGAATGCGTTTGAATCATGGCGCCGATGCGTAACGGTCTCCTAAAAACTTACCGGAATGGATGACAGATGGCAATGTACCGCTCTACGGTGAAAGCTGTTATGGTCAGCACCGTGGTGTTTGCGGCCATTTCTGAGAGCACGCTGCCCATAATGCACATGACATCGGTGAAGGGATATGAATCGGGAAACCACAAATTGTACAGTTCCTGCGGTATGCCTAGCGAGATATATAATTCATACTTTTATATCATCGAAGTGTGGAAGAAGCAAGGTATCAACTTATACTTGTATATTAAAAAGAAAAAAATTTGTGCGAATGACGTCAGTCAGTTCAGCTGTGTCGTTGGATTGAACTAATTTTTCTTTTCTTTACTTTTCGCAGCACGGTTTTTTGTTTTCTTTACTTTTCGCAGCGCAATTTTCGGGGAAATTTAATACTTTCCTGTACTTTTATTGCGTCGCAAAAGTCGTCTCCCTTTAAAACTTGATATCTTTACTTTCTTTCATTTATTTAAGTAGTGGGCTGAGCTTCAAAGTGAACAAACATATTTATGGTAATCCTCAAAGAGGGAACCTCTTGTGCCCAACTTGTTGAATAGTTGGCGAAAGGTTGCGAATTAAGTTAAAATATTTACATAACTTGTGACAAACAAGTTCTTAATCTAAGCCCACAGATAAAGCTCATTGCTCTGCGCACCAATTTAGCAGAAGCATTATTGACAAGATGAAGGGAAATACATTTATTTAACAAAATGCAACCCTATTTATAAAAAAATATGCACATCTTCATTTTCCATGTTGGACTAAATGCTAAAAGCTTAAGTGAATTCTTTTTATGATTTATGACCATAAAGGTCTCGTTGCTGAAGCTGTCGGTCTACAATCAAGTATTTCATGTCCGTTTAAGAAGTTTCTGCTGAAATCTGTGTTGGCTCACATATAATTCTATTTTAACCAAAGAGCAGACGGCTGGGAATCTTTTTGTTACCAAATAAACAATAAGCTTTCTTGTGTATTTTCTGGTCTTATTTGGGAAAACCAAGTGGCATTTGCGCTTTCAAATGCAAATCATAACATTGCACGAGAAAAAGTAATGACTACTGAAAATTTGACAAAGAAGATTTATAACAGTTCGTCATAAAATCTATGAGACACAGAATAAAGCATCATAGTCTAGTCTGTCAAGGAAAATAATAAACAAACTCTTTAATTGTTTGCCGTTCTTTAAACAAGGGCGTGGAGGTTTTCGAATTTAAAGTTATGCATACTCGAAAATTCTTACCAATATATATGCACGATTTTACAGAAATTACCGAGTATTTATATCTTTTAGAAAAATTATATACTTATAAGCGCGACTCCCTAAGGGGCTTAAGCACAAACACTTCATTTATTATTCAAAAATGTCCAGATGATTATTTCCAATAATATTTATTCAACCTCAATATATATTTAATAGAAATGAATTAAATTGGTTTAATTGAATTGAAGCTTAAGCTAATATTTTATTAGACATAGTTGTATTTCGTTATAATTTATTATTATTATTATTATTGGAGACTAGAAAAGTATCGTATTTTGAATCGCTAGATTCATTTAATTACCTAATTAAACTTTTATAGTCGTAATAAAGAGGCTAGCAATTAATCGAGTTTAGTTCGCGTTAGAGATTAGATAAAGAGATTGGATAAAAGATATTCATGCTAAATTAACTTCTTTGGTCTGCTGTCTGGGTTGCCGAATTTTTCCAGTTACCACTAAAATTAGATTGTTTGTAACGCAAATGAAACTATTTGTTGGTTTGTTTGTTTCTGTTATCAAATCGAATAGAAGTGATTAAATAAGCGTGGCATTTTTCAACAGAAGTACGAGTAACTGATATTGCCGATAACATGCTCTCCCCTAAAAATGCTTTAACAAGTTTCGGAATTTATGCCTAAAGCTCTTACACCCACTATATATTATGTATTTAGTTACCTGACAACAGCAGTATTATATCTGATATGGCCAAATTGAACAGATAAAAGTTGGTGGCGGTGTGCATGAAATTGTTGCGAGAGATCACAATGCAAGTTATCAGATTGCCCAGCACTCCGGCGACAAAGATGAGGGCATAGCAAATGGTCAGTGCTATGAGGATGGCCAGCGACTCCTCGCCCGCATCGGTGGACTCGACTCCGCTGGTGGTGCTATTTGTTGCTTCGCGGAGCATTAGCTGCGTTAGGTTTTCCTTGCTTATGTTCAGCATGTGAGCGATTCGAGCTACAAATTTGTCATTGTGGAGCAGGAGGAGCTCGGCGCTGTTGGAGGGCAGCGCAGTTGCTGTTGTTGTTGTTATTGTTGCTATTGCGGAATGGGCCATAAATGATTGATTGAGGCCATCATCATTGCTGTCGTTGGTGTCGTCGACTGCTTGCAACATGCTAGCAATTGTCGATTAATCGTGGGCGTGTCTTCTACTCCACTTGCGGCACGTTATCAGTGTTATTAATATATTCAGCTGTCGCTGCGGCCGCCACCGTTGGTCTGTTGTTGTAGTCCTTGCTGTTGTTATTGTTGGTTTTATATGCCTGGTTGCGGTCTGTGCACATTTCTAGATAAGCGACGTAGCCGTTCCAAAAATGTGCATATATACAAGTATATACACGCACGTACTTGTATATCTTTATATACTTGGTATGTATTTGTCGTCTTGCGCCTAAAATTGTGCACTCGTCTGTAAAGCAAATAACATGAGAAGTCATTAGACTAAAAACTGAATTTAAATGTGAACAACATCAACAAATGTAAGGGAAGGGGCAACAGCTTGCCGACTGGGGCGACATGTGTCTGTTGCCATAATTTTGTGTCGGCGCCCATGTGAGCAGCACGTGTGGGTGCCTGTATTTTACTATAACCTTAAATGGGAGCAGCTGCTGTGCCATAATCCAGCAATTCATTGAGCATAAAGTAGCAAAATTGATACATGGGCGGTATGTAAGACAAATAACTTGGACGAGGACATGGACTTGCTTGTTACTGCGACTGCGAACTTGGTTCGAGTGGCAAAATGTTGGATGATTGGGGGCTACTTCAATTTGTTCCCCAGCGTTATTAATAGACCAGTTCAGGAGCATTTTTATTATGCTTTGATTGCTGGCAACAAACTTTTTCTATTACTCTTGATAAAAATGAGTGCAGGGGCGCAACTTTTCCAAACACACACACACACACACGAGCCTACAAGTAATTGAGGCATTCAAAGAGACGTGTTATGACAGCTTAGGCCGATAAGCAGCAACATGTATGGAATTTTAAATGTGGCTTAAAGTGACTTTAGACCTCATCAGTACATATTTCATTCATTATGTCAATGGCACGATTTCAATATGCATCAATTTTATACAGTCCTTAGTCCCAGTCCTTAGATATGTCTGTGCAGCTTGGCCCACGAAGGTTAACAGCCGAAGCTCGCATACACATTCCATACTATATATGTGCGAGTAGGTTTAAGAGAATTACTGGGCACGTGCCAATTTAGACAAGACATTTGGCAGTATCTCGAACTTGGCAGACATTATTCTCAAATACTCGCAGCCCCCGCGTATTAATCATATTTCCTGCGACTGACTGCGACGAAAGTTGTCCTTCTCAGCTGATGAAATCGAATACATACTATTTGTACATATGTGTAGACGGAGGTCCAATGCGCGTACTTGCCAGTGTATATGGGCTCCTCGGGTTGCAGCTAATTGGAAAAATAATTGAGTTGCCAATTCAGGTGTGAAAGTCAATTTAGTCATGGGCGAGCTACCATGATTTATGAGGGCATGGGTTGCAGATGGCGAAGATGTCCTATCTCGTTTCTTTTTAAAGCCACAGCTAATAGGCGCACAAGCTCGTTTGGGAATGAACTGTTGAAAATCAATACAAACATAAGTACCAATGCACGCATGTTAATATAAGCAGATAATAATCTTATGTTATCTACAAGTTATCTGTCACTGTTGCATACGAATGTAAGCATAAAGAATATGTATAGCAAAAGTGTCAGTCTCCAATAAAACTCTAAAGCGAACAGACGCACGGCGGTCCGCGACTATTGTCTTTTACTTTACTCCTACTGAGCCCTTCCCTTTTCAGCGAATATATAATCTATTCAATAGGTTATGGGCCCAGGGCATATAGGCTCATAGGAGAAGTTCAAAGTATTGTGAAATAGTAATCGTTTGGTGACTCAAGAAATATAACATTTAAAAAATGAGTGCGCTATATCAAATAGACAAATTGGAAGAGCATAACTATGACTCATGGAGCATACAGATGCGATCTGTCTTAGTGCACGCGGAATTGTGGAGTGTGGCATCAGGTGCTGAACCTAGTAATACTGAGAGTTCAAGGCCAAAAGATGAAAAGGCATTAGCAATTATAACGCTAAGTGTAAAAGCTTCACAATTGGGCTTCATTAAAAATTGCAACACTTCGTACGAGGCATGGAAAAAGTTAAAGGACGTTCATCAGCCGAGTGGACCTGTACGGAAAGTGTCGCTGTACAAGAAATTGCTAGGCAAACGCATGTTTCAAGGCCAAAGCATTTCAAGTTACATACACGAATTTAACGAAATTCTGGATGGTTTGTGTACAGTTGGCATCGAATTAAATGATGAGTTAAAAACAATCGTGTTGTTGTCAAGCTTGCCCGAACCATACGAAAATTTTGTCGTCGCCATTGAGACGCGTGACAATTTACCGTCATTTGATGTGTTATGTATCAAGCTGATGGAAGAGGGAGAGCGCAGAGGCAATGCAGATGGAGAGAGCGAGAATGCAAGAGCATTTATAGCTACGCAGCAGATCGTCGCGCATTCCAAAGCGAATTCAAAAAGGAATTCAAAAATCGTCGTTTGCTACAACTGCGGCGAAAAAGGGCACTACAAGGCACAGTGCAAGCGTGAGAAAATTCGCGGTGAAGGGAAAAAGCAATCGACAAAGAAAGAGATGGAAAAGCAGAGCAGCTTGTTAAATGCGTTGGACGTTGGAAAGATAGAGAACAACATGTGGTGTCTGGACAGCGGAGCAACAAGCCATATGTGTTGCGATAAGACGTTATTTTCAAAATTTATTGCGCACACTGAAATGATCGGTTTAGCTGACGCTGGTTTCCTGAAGGCCGAAGGCAGAGGAGAGGTGAAGTTACAGACAGAACTTTGTACCTTGGTGTTGTCAGATGTACTGTATGTACCGAAAATGAATGGCAACTTTATGTCCGTCAGCCGGTCAGTGCAAAAGAACAATGTTATACATTTTGGGCCACATTTTGCTAAAGTTATACAAAACGGCGAGTGTATACTGAAAGCGAATAAAGTTGGGAACCTTTATATGTTTCAAGGCAAACAAAATAGGTGTTATTCCGCAACTGAATCAGATGGTACATTGTGGCATAAGCGTTATGGCCATTTAAATTTTACCAGTCTGAAGGAAGTGATCAGCAAAGAGCTAGTGCGTGGTATTGGAAAGGTTTTTTTCCCAGACAACTTGAATTGCAAAACGTGTATGCTAAGCAAAATACATGTACAGCCATTCCCAAAGGTAAGCACTAACCGTGCCGAAGAGCTGTTGGAACTGGTTCATGCTGATGTATGCGGCCCATTCGACACGAAGTCACTTGCTGGATCCAAATACTTTCTGACCTTCATCGATGACAAGTCCAGGCGTATATTTGTTTATTTTTTGCGGAAGAAAGATGAAGTGTTCAGTAAGTTCGTCGAATTTAAAAACTTGGTTGAACGGCAAACAGATAAAAAGCTCAAATGTATTCGAACCGACAATGGAGGCGAGTTTGTCAACACAACATTCAACGGTTTCCTGAAACACCATGGTATTGCAAGGCAATTGACCGTGGCTTATACTCCGCAGCAGAACGGCGTGGCGGAAAGAGCAAACCGGACATTAACGGAGATGTCCAGATGCTTATTGGTGCAGTCGGGCCTAGGCGAGTCTTTGTGGGCCGAAGCAGTCAACACAGCAGTATACATAAGAAACAGATCACCTACCAGTGCACTGAACAACCTGACTCCAATGGAAGCGTGGACAGGTAAGAAACCCTGTGTTAGCCATCTAAAAGTTTTTGGTTCCATTGCAGTTGCACTTGCAAAGGGTCCCCGTAAAGGCAAATTCAAACCCAAAGGGCATGAGTACCGTATGGTTGGGTATTCGGTAGCAGCCAAAGGCTATCGGTTATACGACCCAGAGACGAGGACGATTGTCGAAAAACGAGACATTCTATTTGATGAGCGTTGTGGTGGTCATACCAATGAAGATACCGTTACGGTAGATTTTCCTGCATGCGAGGTTCAAGAGCATGTCACTCACACGGATGGTGACAGAAGCATCGACGACGATGACAGTGAGCACAGTTCTGACGACAGCAGCTCCAACGCATATGAGAGTGCAGTCGAAAAAGAAGACTCTGACGAGGATACTGTGAAGATTGGGCCAGGCCGGCCTAAAATTGTTCGAAATGGTAAACCTGGTCGTCCAAGAAAGCAATACAATGTGCTTGGAGCATTGGTTGCTAGTGACGTAATGGTTCCGACATCCTATGATCAGGCCGTTGGTAGCACACATGCAGTATTCTGGCAAGAGGCGATGCAAAAGGAATATCAGGCACTACAATCAAACGAAACCTGGCAGATGGCTGATTTACCAAAAGATCAGCGAGCAGTTGGTTGCAAGTGGGTATACAGCCTGAAACGTGACTCTGATGGAAAAGTCGAACGTTTCAAGGCACGACTCGTTGCTAAAGGGTGCTCCCAGAAGTATGGCGTGAACTATGTAGAGACGTTCTCACCCGTTTGCAGATTGGAAACCGTGCGGTTTATTTTGGCGTTAGCAGCGGAATTGAAGCTGTACCTTCACCAGATAGATGTGTGTACCGCCTATTTGAATAGCGACCTGCATGAAACTGTTTATATGAAGCAGCCACAGGGATACACAGATCCCAATAATCCAAGTAAGGCTTTATTGCTTAAAAAGGCAATATATGGATTGAAGCAGTCGGGGCGCGAGTGGAACTCCAAGCTCGATTGTGTACTACAAGGCATAGATTTTGTAGCATGTGAAAATGAACCGTGTCTTTACAAAAGGAACGGAAGAGGTGACTTATCATTAATCCTTGTTTATGTTGATGATATAATTATAGCATGCCGATCAAAAGAGGACTTGGCCAACATCAAGTCAGCCATTACAACATCGTTTGAATGTGTTGACAAGGGAGAGCTGCATTTGTTCCTTGGCATGGAAGTGCAGCGCGACGGTGAGCTTGGCGAAATTTCGCTAAGCAATTCGCAATACATCAAAGACATATTGCGTGAACATGGATGCGAGACCTGTAGACCTACAGCGACCCCACTGGATGCTGGTTTCCAAGTGATATGTACCAGC